GGTATATATATATATATATATATATATATATATATATATATATATATATTGGGGGGGATGGGACAGGGGTTCGAGACGGGATTTCTCTTTGTAGCTTGGCTGTGACTCTGTTTACTAGGCTGGCCTCGAATTCACAGAGATCCACCTGCCTCTGTCTCTCAAGTGTTAATGATTAAAGGCATGCACCACAACCACCCACCTTAATTTTTTTTTTTTTTTAATTTCTGTTTTAACTATGTGTTGTAGTTTTAAATAGCTTGTAGTATGTGTGTGTGAATGGGGGTGTGGAGATCAGAAGACACTTCTGTGTAGTTGATCCCTGACTTTCTGAGTTCTTCGGAATGAACTCAGGTTGTCAGGCTTACAAGGAATGCTCCTCTACCTACCGAGCCGTCACACTGGTTTTGAGAATGACCATAAACTCCTGGTCCTCTGCCTCCACTTCCCAAGAATTAGGATTCTAAGTGTTAATGCCTAATGGCAGTGTCAAACACCTTTAAACAGTACTCAGCAGGTAGGGACAGGCAGATCTCTGAGTTCCAGGACAGCCTGGTCTACAGAGGGAGTTCCAGGACAGCTAGGGCTACACTGAGAATCCCTGAAAGAAAAAAAAAAAAAAGGATTGCAAGTGTGAGCCACTTTTACAACTGCCTGTAATTAGAGATTGTAACGCCCTCTTCTGCATTCCTCAGATACCTACACTCCTCTATGCAGATTCTTGTCCCCAAACATATACACATGGCTAAAAATAAAATAACTTAATTACACAACAGAGTTTACCCATCTTAACCATAGTAGCCACTCTTCAGGGAACAGTTGAATGGTATAAAATCTATTTATATTATTGTATAATTATCACTGCCATCCATCTCTGAAATTCTTATCATACTCTTACAGAACACTGATTCTCGCTCTGTCTCCTTCCTAGCCCCTGACAACTGCCATTCTACCGTCTCTCCCAACCCCAGTCCTGAGGGTTGAACGGAGAACTTTGATCTTGATCTTGGCAAGTATTCTGCCAACTCAGCTATATCTTCCAAAATTCTCTCTCTGATTCTCTCTCTCTTTTCTTTTTTTTCTTTCCTTCTTTCTTTTTTTTAATTGAGACAGGGTTTCTCTGTGTAACCTGGATGTCTTGGAACTAGCTCTATAGACCACTCTGACTTCCAACGCACAGAGATCCACGTGTTTCTGCCTCCGGAGAGCTGGGGTTACAGGCGTGCACCACCATCGCCCAGCTTCTACATTCTGTCCCTGTGAATCTACTTTAGCAGCACATGCAAATAGGAGACTTCATTAGATGAGAATGAATGTATGATTCCCCCACTTCAGCAGAATCACAGTGTTCAGTTCTTTTTGTGAGTGGCTTATTTTACTCAGCATAATGTCCTCGGGGTTCATCCATGCTGTAGCATATGACAGAATTTCCTTCCTTTTAGAGGCTGAATAATATCCTATTGTAGGCACATCCCGCATTTTCTTTATCCATTCACCAGTGACAAACTGCTTCCAACTCTTGGCTGTAGTGAGTAATACCGTTATGAACATGAGCATACAAACATGCCTTTGAGTTCTTGCTTTCAATTCAATTATTTATTCGGCTAGTTATTGCGTGTGTATGTGTGTGCCACATGTGTGTAGAGATGGATGCTGAAAGTCTTTGTAAATCACTCCCCACTTTAATTTGTACATGTGTGTGTGTGATGTGTGTACATACTTGCGCGTGGCTAGCATGTGGAAAGTCAGAGGATGACGTACGGGAATTGGTTCTGTCCTTCCACCATGTGGGGCCTGGGAAGCAAATGCAGGTCGCCAGGTTGACAGTAATTGCCTTCACCCTCTGAGTGATTTCCCTAGCCTTCTAGCTTATTTCTTGAGACGAA